CGCCTGGCTTCCTAACGCACCGCAGCCAAAGGCTTTCCGTCTGCGCGTCAGAGGAGGGGAGCAAGCGACGGTTAAATGCCTCGGGCTCCAAAACCAAATGCACAGACGTGACTCAACTCAACAGCCCCTTTTCATCAAAGCCAGGTCCTACAGCATCCATTCGCATATTGTTGGAGAGCAACAACCCCGGCACGCCGAAATACCATGGTCACCTAAAACGTACAAGCTCACAACTACAGGAAGGGTAGGAATGGCGCAAGACTGAGCAAAGCTCCGGGTGTAAACCTAGCAGACTACATTCTGGTTTCCAGTTACACTGTGTGCGTGTCTGGAGTTTCATTCTACATTTATAGCACCGAATAATTCTACACAGAGTCATTATAATTCTACACAGAGTTATGCTAGAGAAGATATCAGTTGGTTTAAATTCATATAGAGATTCCCCCCCCTCCCCCCCCAAATTCTACGGATTAATTATTTTAAACTGCTGGTCCTCATTTTGGGAGCTGGAACAGGCGGGGCAGATTTTCAGAGGCGCTCAGCATGTTTGCGCACTTGGAAAACTGAGATGGGACTGGGGGAGGCGAAAGCTGGGTGGTGCTGAGCAGCACAAGCACGTGAACTAACCCTGACCCAAGGACTGATGGCCACGTTCACCCTATATGTTACGCACGGTGGGGTGGCTGCCCCTCCTCAAGCGGAATGCTGCGTACCAAGGGGAGCTGAAACGGGGTTTGGGGGATGAGGGGGAGGAGGTGTTTTGGATTGCTGGCCATAGTCAAAGGATTGAACTATCTCAGTTGGGTACAACGGAGGCTGGCATGACGCAGAACGAAGAAACGTTACATTTGTAAGCCTAAGAAATCCTCTTAAAATTATTCCAGGAATAATAAGGCGAGCGTAAAAAATACGGGAATCATTTCTACATTCATCAAATCATTATTAACCGTAAGCCTATTCTCTTATAGTCTGTCCTTGGGAGATGGTTTCTTTTTCCTGGAAAACCTTAAGAACCCCACAGCTTTTCGGATGTGTCCATATGGGGCTGACACTCATACGCGTTAAGAAAAGGCTGCTCCCTGCCATGGATTATTCATCTCCTTTATGTTCCTTTCATGCATTTTTATTTTTTTTTTTTTAAAGATTTCTTCTAAGATAGAAAAAAACCAGAGAACATTTACGCTTGAGCAATTCCAGCATTCCGTGCTGGTACAGTACCTGCCTATGGATGCACAATGGGAATGATGCTCCTCTGCCACGTGCATTTCCATAGCACCCGAGAGCATAGCTCAGGACTGCACCCTTCAACGTAGGAGATCAACGCCATCGATCTCACAGCCGGGAACGTGGATGCAGGCAAAACCCACCTGCTAACCCCATAAGCCACGCTGTGATAAAGCAGGCCTGGGAGCCTCCGTTCCTCTGCATTCCCATATAATATGGTTAATATCCACACGGATACTGCCACGCAAGTTCAGGAACAGACGTTACGAGAAGGTTTGCTTTCCTTCAAAGAGCCATTGGGTGTTTAGAACACTTTTTTCGCTCTGCGTGTTTCTTCTTTAACCAGGCTTCCCTCAGAATGGTGTGGTGGGAGAAGTTAGGAGTTAGTAGAAATGTATCAAAGCTTATGTTTTTTTCCCCCACTGTTTTTCAACTATTTCCAAATTCTCGGAATTACCCTAGAATGTGCCCTAGAAAACTACTGTGAAAAAGATCAATTAAAGGAACATCTTGAAAAGAGAGAACCATACCCAAGAGCAGACAAAGCGACCATATTTGCATCAAGCACGGTCTCCGAGATGCTCCTGCAAGAGCCTCTCGTGTTCCCGAAGAGGCAGTGTGGCACAACGGCAGGTACTCACTATGTTCATGAGGGTGAGGAGGTAGTTTTGGACGTGTTCTTTGCCGTGGAATCGGACGACAGAGTCATCCACGCCTAGCAGCACCTCAATGTTGTAGTCATCATCTCCCGCGTGCCTGCGTCGCCTCAGGGTTTCGTTCAGTTGCTGCTCCACGCCGCTGTACAGGGAACTCAGCTCTCCCAGGCTGCCAAGGAGAGACCCTACGAGAAATAGTGAGACATCAACACCTACTCCAATGCCATTTCAGAAACACCCTCTTGCACAGCATCCTCACCTGTAGAGTCACCTCTTCCTGCAATTAAATCAATTGGGAACCCTGAAGAGATTATTCTAGGGGTGCAGGGGTAGGGGAGGTGACCAATACCCGACAGAAAAATTCACTCAAACTCACGGTTCTATAATTGATCACACGGTTCTTATTTCAAGTGTAAAATTCATCCCTAAGGAGATTTAGGCCAAATACTTCCCTTCCTAACCCAGAATTTCCCCCCGCCTCTTTTTTTTTTTTTTGCAATGCATCAGGCACGGGTTACAGAGTGCCATGGCCACGGGATGCCTCAGCACACACTGGGGACGCGGTACAACGCTGCGCTTGGGGCCTGAGCGCTCAAAAGTAACGTGGTCAGCCCCGATTCATGCTGAAAGGATCTCAGATAGCAGCGCTGTGCGATTCCCCCTCATACCCCATCACCAGAACGGCTCAGCTAGAATTTCTGACTTCCTCTTTTTGTAATTCTTCACTGGAAAAGTAGGTGTTGGAATGTCCTCTCCTGGGAGTAACACAGAATGGCAGAAGGGTCCCTTGAAGGCATGGCTCAAGGGGCAGAGTTCAGAGGAACCACTCTGAACTGGCTTTTACGGGGATGCGTTCAACAGCCTCTATTGGCAATGACCCAAAAGCTCTCTCTTCCACTCACCGTGGGTTCTTGACAGGGAAAAAAAGTCACAGCTGGAGGCTACTTTGTTATCCCTAACTCCAAGCCAGCGCTCCAGCAGGCTCTAAGCAATAAACAAGAGGAAGGGGCCTGTTTGGAACATCTCGCAGTGCAAACCACGAGCGACACACCGAAGTCCTCACCAGCCACCGGGCCGTTCTTGTGCCGCTGGCCCGCGACAGCCCGGGAGCATCTCCATTCCCCCACTCCTCCATTTAGAAGAAAGAGACGATCGAGCCCATAAATCCACAGGGATCTTCCCACTCTATGAACCCAGCAAAAGCAGCCAGTATCCATCCAACGGCTAGAGGGGAGAGGACGGTCCTGCCGTCCGCTCCCGTTGACTCGCGCTGCAACAGGGCATTTCCCCAAATGACGGCACAGCTCTCAAGCCCTTCTTCTCCACGCTGGAGCTGATGAAAGCCAAGGTTGCAAGTACACAAACGGGCCCTTCACATGTTCTCAGGCAAGATGTCCAATACACTGGACGTAAGTTTTGCTCACGGAAGGACAGCAGGACCCGGGCCAATGCTACAAAACGTGCTGGACGGCCATGCTGTAATTCATCTTGAGCAGATTCAACCGCTGGCTGCGTTAGCCGGGCAGCCTCTCCCTCCTAAGCGCCGCAGTGGTTCACAGCAGCACATAAATAACTCTCCCCAAGCCCCACATCAAATGGCAAGGTTGGCCCTGGTTGTTTGCAGAAGCTGAGCCCGCCCCTGTGGGTGAGAGACCGGGTCTGCAAACAGCTTTGCAATTCAACCGCAAGCCCTCTCCCTCTCCAGAATGCGAGCCCTGTGATAGCACACAAGCGGGAAATTCATAGACAAGCTCCAATTCTAAAAATTGCCGCAGCTGGCAAAGCCATCGAGCGCTGCGTCCAACGGCAATACACCCGTGATGTCATCGTATCGCTGCGCCCGCTGCATGAGTGGGGGAGCTTGAGCCAGAGCTGCCCCTCAGAACCCCTATGGGATCATTTCTCTGAAGACCTTCCTTCCATAGCCTGACGCGGTAGAAACTGGTTTGGCATTTACGCACGCTGGAAACCCCTTCGACACGTTTTATAGCTTTAAGTAAAAGCAGCTGTCACCGCTCTGCCATAACAAATACGGCCAAGACTCGCGCCGGGCGCCTGTCGGGTTCTTGGGGGGACTTGCACCAAGTGCCACAGCTGCAGGGGGATATAAAACACAAGCCATGCCAGACGCCCCAGGTTTGGTGGGTGACCTTCAGAAAGATGAGGAACAGTCTCAGGATCAAGCCAAGCGTGTTTTGATCGTGCTGCTGCTCTCTGCTCGAGGCTGGCCGGCTTCCACTTTGACCATGCGAAGCCTGGGGGCTGGGGAAGGATGCTCTGCCCATCCGCTGCTGTAGCCAAGGGGAGAAGCAACGGTGAGTACCAAGCTGCAGCCCACCTCCTGGGGAGCCTAAGGGACACATTAACACCTCACCACCGCTAATACCAGATCACAGCTCAGCGTTAGCTTAACGCCGGCCTTGGGACTTGTCTGGCCTTGCCCTGGCTCATCGGCTCTTGACCGTATTTTTAGCTTGCTTTTAGCTGTAAAAAGGCACGGCCCAGGAGCAGGTGATGCCCACCTGCCTGGTCTAGCCGTAACAGCCAAGCTTGCCAACAGCCTAAGGAGCCATGCGTACCAGGCTTTAGCTGTAGCTTCCCTTTCGGTGGTATTACCCTAAGAACACGTACAGGAAAATGCTACGTGTAGGAAAAAAGTGAACAAAACTTAATGATCACGGCACAGTGCCACCTGCGGGCCTGTGAGAAAGAGGAGTTAGAAACGGCCTGCTCGACAACCTGGACTGATAACAGCCAGCGGACCCAAGACCGACAAGGGAAAAACCCAACCGTCAGAAAGCCCCCGTGCGAGGAACCTGGGGCAGCGACCACGCACGGCGTGGGGGCGAACCAGCAGAGGAAGGCACAGGTATTTGCCAGCTTCTGCCTATCGGTTTTAGTTGCATTTTTTAATTAATCAGGTAATGTGATTAAAGAAGAGAGTTTTCCATCAACAAATCCCACAACAATTACTCCTAGGAGAGGAAACAGTTCATTCTTGTTTCATAGAATCATAGAATCACTTCTATGATTCCTTCATCCTTCTATTTCCTTCATCAAAGCATGAGATAGTGAATATATGTATATCTCTGTGTGTGTGTATATATATATATATATATAGAAAAATATATATACGTATGTGTGGATTTTCTCACCGTGCTTTGCTGCTCAAGCGCGGCCCCGTCTGCCGTCCAGTGCACCCCGGGCTGCTGGTGGGAGCTGGGAGCTGCCACAAAGGACTCGAGAGCCAGAGCTGAAAGCGGCGATGGGCGAGAGGAGGCCGCGGAGAGGAACGGTCTTTGCACAGTTGGAGGCTTTTTACCGTGACTTGGGATACTGCTAATAAACCGATAAGCGATAAATACATCTTTTCCTTTCTTTTTTTCTCCAGATGAGTGGAGGTGCATTTATGCCCCTGGCCAGTAATAAATTGCAGTTTTTGCAGGAGAACGTTCTATCAGGTAAGGGCCATAATTCCTTTCTATACATGAGGAAGACTTGAGCATTCGGGCTGTGACCGACACCTTATGGTCACGCACAAATACAGGACCCCCGGCAGAAGCCTGCAGGTCACACCTTAGACACGCGCAAAGCAAGCAAACCCAGTCCCCTTTTTTACTTTACACAACACTATGTTCTTCAACTGATGCCACCTGTGGTAGTCAAACCACATTTATTCTGCTTGATTTCAACTCTGAAATGAACTGCCTCGCACATTTTCAGAGCTAACCTGAGAACACACCTGCGCAAAGGCCGGGAGCCCTCGTGTCGGGACCGACCACCACTGCTGCCGTAGACCCCCGCCCGGCTCTCAGGGTACCGATGGGCAGCGGAAGGGCCGGAGCGCTGCTGTCAGAAAACTTTCCTGGCAGGTAGCAAGCCCAGGAAAGTGTCTTGATAAGGAGATAGACTGCAGGTGGCACGGGAAGGAAGAACAGCAAAAATCAGCGAAGGAACCATTTCTTAATCATAAAGCTTAAATAAACTCATGGTGGCTTTCTTCACCGTTTTCCCTTATGTATCGTTTTCCCATGGCTCTTCCATCCTGTTTCCTTGGACGCCTAACTACTCCTCTGGTTGCTCAGGTCACTCAGACGTAAGGAGAGCCAGGTTTATATCCAGTCGCTCCATTTTTAAGGAGCTTGTCTGCACACACGTGGAACCTGCTGTTGCCACCATTAAGGTCTAACGGGAGCACAGCACGGCCTGTGCCCACCTGCGCCCCCGGCCACGCTCATTATCTTCACTGAGCAGCTCACTGCCTACCGGCAACAACAATTACACCGAGCCGTCGCTTTATCTGCCTTAAGCCTCCCGAAGTCTGCAAAGCCCAGGCTGAGGAGCCAGACATCAAGCGAGAGGGCAGCTCCGTCTGGGGGGGCTCTGGGGCAGGGAGGCCAGCCTCGCTAGGGGCGGAACGGCACTCAACAGCCAAACGGCTCCCCTAGCTCGTGCTGATGAAAGGTGCGGAGCCTGCTAACTACAGCGGAAGGACTTCTCTGTGCCACCGACGTGCAAAGGACGAGGGGGAATGGTTTGAAGCTGCGCCAGGGCAGGTTTAGGTTAGATATTAGGAAAAACTTCTTCACTGAAAGGGTTGTCAGGCTCTGGAATGGGCTGCCCAGGGAGGTGGTAGAGTCCCCATCCTTGGAGGTATTTAAAAGAAGGACAGATGAGGTGCTTAGGGACAGGGTTTAGTGGTCGGGTGGCAGGGTTAGGTTAAAGGTTGGACTCGATGATCTTAAAGGTCTTTTCCAACCAAAGCGATTCTATGATTCTATGATTTAATGGTGCAAGTATCCTAAAATCTGCGCTGTGCACCAGCTCCACCACCGACACAAAATCCCGGCGGCGGAGTCCTTCAGTCTGATCCATGCGAGGGGAAAGCTCACTCACCAGCTCGGGAAAAAGCCTGTGCCCGCTTCCAGGGCAGCTTTTGTACCCTCTTGCCTAGGGGGGGAGCAGAAGGAATGGCTCCCTTGCTGGAGAGCGTCAAGCCGAAGGGCTAGGCAGCCCTGACACCGGCCGAGCCAGAATTGCTATCCAGCTGGAGAGGAGAGCTGTGAAAAGCTGAAGCTGATGCAGCTAAGCTTTTCCATTAATGCAATTACCAACAGTGAAAACACATCATAAAAATCCAAGGAAAAAATGTCAGCTCTGAAGAGGTGGGGCACAGTAACCTGCT